CTGCGGCGCGGCTGGGGCGCGCCCGCCGTGGATGAGAGGGCAGCACACGCGCTCCGACCTCACACGGCGGAGGCATCGGATAAGGAACTCGTAGATGTCGCCACGCCGTCTTGTTCTCGACGCGCCCAAGTGGACGACGCCGACAGCATGGCAAACCCACGGCACGCCCTGCGCCCCACGCTCGAGTAGACGACGCCGGCACCGCGGCAAACCCACGGCGAACCCACCGTGTCCGAGGCGGCGTGTGCCGTGGTGACTGAGGCGCCCTCCCCAAGACGAAAGGCCGCGCGTCCGAACAAACGACGCGGCGACAGATAAAGAATCCAGGGTCTGGAGGCCCGTGGAAAATGAGCCTGGCGAAGGACCCAACCAGATGCACCTGCGAGCACCGCAAAACAGGTGGGAAGTAAGGAAAGGGGCTAGCAAAAGGACTAAGGCGTGCGTGGGAAGGACGGGGCGACGCTGCTGATGGGCACGCAAAAATCAGCCATAACGGGCTACATCTGGAGGTAACCCGTTACGGCTGATCTATGCTTCTGGCGGCGCGGCCCCGGTGGGCAGCATGCGGCGGGGCCTTCGTGGAGCTCCCTATGGGGCCACAAAACCTGTGAGGAGTGTGCCGAAATGGGCGCGGTCACGAATGCGGACGCAGACTTTAGGCCTTGGATGGAGCTCCCTATGGGGCCAGCGTGTGATGGGTGCGCCGAAATTGCATGGACCAGGCATGCAGACGCAGCCATTGGGGCCTTAGGTGAAGCTCCCTATGCGGCCACGACACATATGAGCGTTGCGCCAGCATGGCGTGGACCAAGCATGCGGACGCAGATGATTGAACCTTAGGTGGAGAGCCCTATAAAGCCACGAATCAAGTGCGGGTTGCGCCGAAATGGCGTGGACCAGGCATACGGGCACTTACATTTGGGGACGGAGGTGGAAACCCCTGAGGGGCTACGAAACGTGTGAGAGGTGCGCCGACATGGCCTGGACCAGGCATGCGGACGCAGACTGTTGGGCCACGGGTGGAGCTCGGAAAGGGCCACGAAGCGTGTGAGGGGTGCGCCGACATGGCCTGGGCCAGGCATGCGGACGCAGATTTTCGAGCCGTAGGTGAAGCTCCCTATGTGGCCACGAAGCGTATGAGGGGTGCGCCGACACTGCGTGGACCAAGCATGCGGACGCAGGCATTTGAGCCTTAGGTGGAGCCCCTTGTGGGGCCACGAAGAATGTGAGAGGTGCACCGAAATCGCGTGGACCAGATATACGAACACAGAGTTTAAGGGCCTCAGGTGGAGCCCACTTATGGGGCCACGAACGGTGTGAGGGGTGCATCAACATAGCGTGGACCAGGCATGCGGACGCTGATTTCTGGGCCTCAGGTGGAACTTCCTACGGTGCCATGATACGGTGCCATGAAACGTGTGAACGGTATGCCGAAATGGTGGGGAAGGTAAGCGAACCAGAGGAGGACGAGGAGGAGGAGGAGGAGGAAGAGGAGGAGGAGGAGGAGGAGGAGGAGGAGGAGGAGGAGGAGGAGGAGAAGGAGGAGGAGGAGGAGGAAGAGGAGGAGGAGGAGGGGGGGACGAGGTAGAAGGAGTGAGACGCGGGACGCTGTCTCTTCAAAACGAAGGCCCAGCACCGCAGGATGGTTGGGAACGACACCTGGCAGAAACAACAACAACACATGGTCTGGGAGCCAATGTAACACAACACAGGTATGGAATCCAGTGGACTCGAGGATCAAGAGTTGGCCCAAGCATGAACTGTCGGAGGTCCGCGCGGATTTCTCGTATCGGCGCTGGGCCCCCCTGGCGGCGCCTCTGGCACGTCCCCTGGAGAGTTTCCGCGCGCCAGGGAGAGAGGTCCAGCGCCCATCCAAGAAATCCGCACGGACCTCAGAAAGTTCAACATCATACCACTTGGCGGCTCTCGAATCACAGAAGAACACACACTCAAACCTGTAGGGAGGAGGAACGGGGAAGGGCAGGGCGACGAGGGCGCGATGGGTATGGGTGCGAGCTGTCTGACCCCGTGGGGGGCTTCCCTTCGAGTGGGGGGCCCCATCCGACAACGCACACACACGAATACACGCACGTACACGAACACACACACACACACACACACACAAAAAAAAAAACACACACACACACACACACACACACACACGCACTTTTGGCGTCGCGGCCCGCCCCGCGCGCAGCGACAGGGCGCAGACAGGTCAGAGAAACGGGCGCGCACGCGCGTCTAAAGACCGAGCCGTCATGCCGCTTGGAACAAGCAACGTCGTCAGCCGGCCATAACTGGGCGTGGACGACGGGGGGTCAGACGAGGGCAGGCAGACGGCCGACCGCGAGGGCAAGGGCAAGGGCAAGGGAAGACAGAAGATGGAAGCTACAGGAGTGCCATGGCCAGACGACTGGCAGAAGGGCACGTCAAGGACAAGGGGCCGAGGGCCAGCAATGGCGGCAGAAAATCGCAAAGGCCGCACCCAAAGAGAGATAGCAACGCCGGCAAGCCCGCCAGAGCGACGGAAACGGTAGGCAAGGGGGAGCACACACACGCACACACACACACCTATATCCCCACCAGAGTTTCACCCCGAGAAGTCTGGGCGTCGCAATGGGTACGGGTGCTGGTCGCCAACTCCTGAAAATGGCGCTGCTGCAGAGGACAGACCCGCGCTGGCAGAGGTCCCCAGATCGGCGGCGCGTTCGGCCAGCCTCGAGCCCAGATCTCCGACGATCTGATGTTCGCGAAAGAACAGCACACACATCCAGACCCATAGGGGGGACAGAAGGGGCTATGGGTGCGTGTTATCGGGTGGGGGTCCCCGCTCGAAAGGGGGCATCCCCAAGGGTCCGACAACCCGCACTGCTCGCAACCCATAGCCAGGCATCCTCCCTCCGACCGCTCTATGGGTCTTGGCGTGGGTTGTTCGCTCGCCATGATGTTTCGGTCTGCTCTCGATTTCGGCCCCCGGTGCCCGTTTTCTGGCCCAGGAGCAGACAACATCGAATCTGGAGCGATAAACTGACCCCTTGGCAGGGGTCGGGACCTCCAGGACCACGCATGGAAACAAGTCAGGTCGGCGGATGTCCATGGCGGCCTGGCATCTGCAGAGGACGTCTCCTGGCCAGCAAACCAGGTGGCCGCATCTCAACCAGAACCTAAACCGGTAGCTGGAAGTTGGTGCGGCTCTGATGCCTCACACAATCGGAATAAGCTGGAGAGGCCGTGTCAGAGAATCATTGCGTACTTACAAGTTACAGGGAAACCCTGAACATACGGCGTGAAGAGCATCGGAGGAATATCGAAATGCTGCAAACTAGCCAGAATCTCTCATCCCAACATATCATACAAGGACGCAGCCATTCGTCGGCCCAACCACCACGGGACACAGGAAGCAGCATGACACAGCACGGGGATCGATAACACTGTCGCCGTCGAGGAGAAGCGAAAAGCTATTCGAAAGCTGCCCCGGCGTAGCTCGACTAACCCTCAAATCAGCAACCTACCGCACCAAAAGCGTTTGTTTCATGGTTTTCGTGGAATGCTTTATCATCTCTTGTCATGATCATCATCACCAGCATCATCATCATCATCATCATCATCATCATCATCATCATCCTCATCCTCATCCTCATCCTCATCGTCATCATCATCATCATCATCATCATCATCATCATCGTCATCATCATCACTACCACCACCACAACCACTATCACAATCACGATCACCATCACCATCACCATGACCATCTTCATCGCCACAATCATCCCCATGATAACATCGCCATCATCGTCATCACCGGCTGGGGGGATCATCTGGCCAGAAAGCTACACTATCAAGCTAGACTCTGATGTCAGGCAATTAGCACGAAAGAATTCATTGTCTAGCTCGTGTCATCCATGAAGATAACGCTGACTGCAGAACCGTTCCTTTTCTGCTTGATTATGTAAAGTATTACCATCATTCGCAAATCATGTCCAACGTCTTCAACACGCGACCTCAAGGTGCTGCACGGCACTTACCTCCTCGTTTGGCCTCCACCTTGTATGGCCCGACTCCCGAGTGCGAAAGATGCCGAAGTCTTGCGCGGAACTCGCCAGATTTGTGGCGTGCTGTCACCCGCAGCTCGCACGAAGAAGCGCTGATCATGGCCGATCGTCGCGAGGCTGTGCCCACCAACAATGGTCAACGGTTATTGTGCTCAATATGCCCAATCGCTGCCGCTGCTGGCTTTCGACAAGAACCAGCTACCGTGTCCTCAGCCCGTGGTGGAGTGCCCCAAGGAAGGAGAGTGCAGATGTGAGTTGTAAAAAGATCGCAGGGCTCTTTCTTAGAAGCCCAGAACAGCAATGTGCTTGAATTCGTGGGCGCTGTTGGGCGCTCTCGGCGCTTCTTGCGCGGGATTCTAGCAAACCAAAACCGCCCAAACCGACCCCAACGTCCCCCGAGAGCCTTCCGAGAATGCTCAACGAGGCTTGGGAACCCCCGGTAGCCCAAAGGAACCGTCCTGGGGCTCTCTCGGTGCCTCTTGGGAAGACTTGTAGGCCCTGGGGCTGCCAAGAGACCAACAGGGTAGAAGCATCTAACGCTGTTGTATGGTGTCCGCATGCGTTGCACTTGTTTGTTCCCAGGACGTCCACGAAGGTTCAAGAGGCCCCCAACACCCGCCCAAGAGGCCTTTCGAAGCCCTCTAGGGAGGCGCCCAGGAGGCTCCCGAAAGACCCCCAAGAGAAGCCCAAGAGGGGAAGCTCGAACTGCGATTCAGAGCCCGACATGCCCCCAGAGGATCCCAGGTGACCCTCACAAGCCCCAGGGATGCCCGAGAGGCCCACCAGATGCCAAAGAGGCCCCTAGGAGGCCCTGAAGAAGGCTCCAGGAAGTTCCCACGAAGCCCCCGAGAGGCCTCCAAGGCGCCCACAAGAGGCCTCTTCCCCACGGCCTCACTCTACGGCCCGAAGCTCCAAGTGGGGCAACAGCTACACGGATAGGGGGCT